TCGTTCGTACGAGAGAGAGAGAGAGAGAGAGGATGGTCTTGAAGAAAACGTTTCACTTTTTTCCTATCATATAAATCAAATGTCGAATGATATTGAAAAATAATAATAAAAGAAAATTTGCCAATAGACTTTGCAACCATTTTTCTTTTTTTTTTTATTTTACATAGAATACAAATAATATGCTAGGTACATGGCAACTAAATATTACAAATTTTTCTAATTGTCGAAAATAATAAATAAACATAATATCTCTTTGTAATAATTTAGTCGTTAAAATCTATAATAATAAGTTATGTCAATAAGATAAGTCGGAGATATCTCTCTCTCTTTTTTTCTTTTCTTTTCCTTTCTTTTCGAACCACTTTATTATTTATTGCGTATTATACATATGAAATAACAATAATATTGTACGTTGATAATAACGTTATTTATATTACCTAATCTTATCAACGTTCTCTTATTTAACACTAGATTCGCTGTGAATTATCTATACTGCGCGTACTCGATCAATTTTCTTATTATAAAACGTGTAAAAGACAGAGTTTAACAAAGTTTCTTGGACCCGTTTTTGTCCACCCTTCGATGCTCCATCCCTTTTTCGACCTCCCTCCTCGTCGTTTGTTAAATTCTCCCGCTCCAGTTGACACTGACAATCGGTCCCGCTTCGTTAATACCTTTGATATTCTCCTAATTAGTACCGAATTATTCATCGCAGCCATGTTTGCGCCACTCGTTCCAGGGTTAATAAAGTTTAAACGATTCGGGCGGGAAATTGTACAGGTAATAGTTTTTATCTCGTTTAGAAACAAAATTGTTGAACGATCTCGTTTAATCGGATTACTCAAATTGAACTTACTATTATTTCAAATCTTCAAATCTTTGGAATCATGGAAGGATTGTTCTATTTTCTTTTATTCCGATGATAATTATTCATTTAATCGGTCAAATTTGTTCAAATCGACTGATAAAAATGAAAAATAATATTTTTAAACACTTACGATTTCATTTTCAGTATTCTCTATTACGAATTAAAATTTGTTTATTCTCCGTTGAACGATTTACGATCGATTGTTAAATCGCGCGGAATTTCATTTGCTTTAGCGTTACGCGCACACCAATCATATTCTCCCTGTTTGCACAGGGATCGGCGAATTTCGAGCCAAGGAGAGAAGAAACAGGAACAGTCTTTTCAACATTCATTCGAACGAAAGGAAAGATCATCCGATCGATCGAATCCCTGTTTCTTTTCGTTGAAAACTTGTAACGAAGCTTTCGCGAATGCGAACTATTCGAATGCAAATAGCTGCTCAAATGGAGCTTCTTTTCGACTTCGATTCAACGATTAAGCTTGGATTGGTTGGTTAAGGAAAAATCTGCGGTTCGAGTCAATCGTGATCCCTTGTACAGAATTCGAATACGAAGATCGATTTCTAATTCTCCTTTCTTTGGAACGATAAACTTTCCGTTCTCTATTAGTTGACCTATTATAAAAGAGATATGTAAACGAGAAGTCTGGAGGAGATTCGATGGGGGGAAACGGTCGACCCGATTGAATTAAACGAGAGAAGTTGACGGTTTTGGTAAAACTTTGGATACCGATCAATTAGAAAACTCGTGTACAAAAACAAAAAGATTTATTCGCTTAACATGTGTAGGGTTAAAAGGTAACAGAGAAACGATTTAAAAAACTTTGGAAAATGCGTGTTTCGTTGATTAGACGTTAGAAAACTGTCTATCGCGTATTTATTTCTATTCTATTCTTTGCGAATAAAAATTCGAAATCGTTGGCATAGAATTTGATTCGTTACATGAATCGGTTAACCACGCCTAGCCGTTAGAGACGTCAATAGAATTTCAATAGAATTTCAGTTCGACTTCGCTTCGTTACTCCATTTAAACAGGTAATAATTCGAGGAGATATTGAAAGAATCGAGAAAAGTCGCGATAATTTTCATTCACACTTTAATCATCGCAAATCATCGATTATCTTTTGTCTTCTCACACTCTCTTAACGATAAAACGAACGTATTTAATCTGAAACGAAATTATAAGTACACGAAGTATACGATCGCTGCTAGGACCGCGAGAATGGACACAACCATCGTCGTGGGCATCCCCTGGTTGTCCCCTTGATTCGTTTTGCCAGATTTGAAGTGATCCTTCCCCCAGGTCTTCTTAGGCAGGTTGCCCGTCTTTTCTGACTCGACCAATTCGCCGACCTGATATTTCGTCATTAGGTCAAAAGCGTCTGTGGAGTGGCCAACGTCGTCGAAGTCCTCGGAACCATCGATGCCCGAATGGTCCAACAGAACCTCTTCACCGCCTGGATGCTCGTTTAGGAAATTCGTGACATCGTACACTTTGTCGTGTAGAATTATCAATGTCTTGTCCTTGCTGAGTTTGGCAACTTCGCTCCTCGTGAATTGCTTGCTCATCGTTTTGCTGGGCTCTTCGATAATTCGAGAGGAAATTCTGAAATCATCGATACGATGGATTATAATTCGTTCGATTTTCGTTTGTGGTTTTTCTTCTTCTTTTCTTTTTTGTTTTGAATAACAATCGATAATAATTACTCATCATCATGCATTCGACTAAGAAATTGCGTTTTATTATCATTATCTTATGAGATATGGTATCTCATTAATTTATCTTTTAATATATCATTCGAGATCTTAGAGATTTTAAATAATAGAATTAAGCGATTAGAAGATATATTTGATAATAATGATATAAAAGATTTACTCTTTTGATCTATTGAGATTGAAAAAGTGTATAATTTTATATATTCAAATACTTTTTTCTCTTTATACAATTTTATGACCATGACATGCAAATAAGGAATATAAGCACGTGATACATTTTTTAAATACAGATTAGCACGAGATGATTTTTTTCCATTTAAAAAAGTTTCTAGATTTTAAATTACGTCATCTTCATTTATCGCTTGAACTTCAAGATATATGAATTTATATATTATATAATTTATTTTGTAACATTGGGAGAGAAAAAAGNTATATATATATATATATATATATATATATATATAATATTA